GTTGTTTGTCGTTTGTATAAATGATTTGGATGAGAATAAAGGAGGCATGATTAGTAAGTTTGCAGATGACACCTAAATTGGTGGTTTCGTGGACAGGTTATCTATGAGTACAATGGAATCTTGATCAATTGGGCCAGTGGACCGAGAAATGATCAATAGAGTTTAATTTGGATAAGTGCAAGATGTTGCATCTTGGTAAGACAAACCGGGGTAGGATTTCTACAGTTAATGGTAGGGCCCTGGGGAGTGTTGTTGAACAGAGAGTCCAAGGGGTGCAGGTACATAGTTTCTTGAAGGTGGTGTCACAGGTAGACAGGGTGGTGAAGAAGACATTTGATGGTCAGAGCATTGAATGCAGGAATTGGGATGTCATCTTACAGCTGTGTAAGACATTGAAGAGACCACATTTGGAGTAATACATACAATTCTGGTCGCCCTATTAAAGGAAGGATGTTATTAAACTGGAAAGGCTACAAAGAAGAATTCAAAAGATGTTACCGAGACTGGAAGGTTTGAGTTATTAGGACAGGCAGGATAGGCTGGGACTTTTTCCCTGGAGCGTAGGAGGCTGAGGGGTGACCTTATTGAGGTTTATAAAATCATGATGGGTATAGATAAGTGAATAGCCCAGGTCTTTTCCCCAGGGTAGGGGAGTCCAAAATTAGAGGGCATAGGTTTAAGGTGAGAGGGGAAGGATTTAAAAGGGACCTGAGGGGGTAACATTCATATGTAGGGAGTGGTTCGTATGTGGAACGAGCCTCCAGAGGAGGTGGTAGAGGCAGGTACAGTTACAACATTTAAAAGTCATTTGGACAGGTACATGGTTAGGAAGGATATGGGCCAAATGCAGGCAAATGGGACTAGTTTGGGAAACCTGGTCGGCATGGATGAGTTGGGCCGAAGGGTTTGTTTTCATGCTGTATGACTCTATGGCAGATATTAAAAGTTCACCACTATAGATAGCCTGGAGGGGTATTGAAAGTGCGGGTGTGAAATTAGAAACAATATTAGAAATGCAAAGAAGGCATGGAAATGTTTTGACAAGTAAAATAAACAGAAATACAAAGTGATTTGTTATAAATACATAAATATCAAGGGGATAACAGCAGAAAGCATTTGGCTCATTGGAGAACAAAAGTTGTAACTTGGTTGTCAAGGCGGAAGATGTGGCATGATTCTTAATGAATACTTCACACGTCTCTTCATTAAAAAGACTGGAAATGGTGATGTATTGGTAGCATCACTGGACGAGTAACCCCAAGGCTTATGCTAGTGCTCATGCATCCAAATCCCACCGTGGAATCTGGCACTCAAATGTAGTTTTTAGCGATAGTGATCATGAGATTATTGTCAAATGTTGTTTTTTAAAAGACTGGTTCATTAATGTTCTGCCATCAAATCCTGGTCTGGCCTGGCAAGTCACTCCATTCGAGGACAATTAGAGATGGGAATAAAATCCTGGGCTTACTAGCAACACTCACTCCTCCTAAAAGAATAAATTTTTAAAAAAAGAACATATGCAAACGTTATAGTTGAGGAGGAGTGAAAAATTAGATGAACATAATCAAAGCAGAAACATTAAAGGATCAGCATTCTTTGAAACTTAAATAAATAACCAGGCCAGATGAAATGTTTTCAAAACTGCTCATAGAAATGAGGATAAAAATAGTAGAGGCTCTGACCAACATTTTCCAACATTCTGTGGCTACAAAAGCCTGGAGAACATTGTTCTGTTGTTTAAAAAAATATTGTGGCTTTGAATGATTGATGCACAGTCAGGCTAAATTTAGTAGTCTATATTTGATTAGAAAGGTATAATGATTGTAACGAGATCAGTCAGATGGCCCTCATAGAATAAGTTCCCTGATTGGGGCTGTTAACCTGGTCCAATCTTGGAGCCCTGGTTGATGGATATAAACAGGACTGTCAGAGGTTCTGATCACTCTGACAGCTGGTCACCGTTACTGAAACTAGCATTATATTTCAGATTTATTCATTGAATTTGAATTCCACCACTTGCAAGTGAATGCACAATGAACGGTAAGATATAAATGTCAGGAGAGAAACAAAACAATCTTGAAGTACATGTCCACAGATTTCTGAAGGCATCATAGAAAGCATGTTCAGTAAGTAGGTAATTGAGCTCTTAAGCCCAGAGTCATGGTCTTGAAATCAAAATGGGTTGCGATATTGCAATGGGCTATGAGGTGTTTTTGCATCCGACTGCCTCTTTTGTGGTTGCGCCAAGGAGTTCTTTGAGGGGAATCGTGTGGTGATCACTTGTATGCTTCAGGCCTTCCACGAACTGTGGGCACTGCGGTGGCATTTTAATTTAAAAATTTATACTTTTTCTTTGAAGTTTTGACCTTTGTTCCAGTGCCTCTTGTGGGCTGTCATTGCTACTTCTGGTTATTTTCACTGTACAGTTATTATAAAATAGTGGTAAAATAGAAAATGTAACTACACCCAACTCCACTTGAGACTGATATCCCATCATCAGGTCACCCTTTATTTACATGTGCCTCATTCTTTATGCTGGTCTGACTTTCTCAGAGCCAGCTCTGAGTGAACAGAACCTCTGACACTCTGTTTGTATTTGTCAGCCAGGACTCCCTGGTGGGGACTGTTAATCTGATCCAGTCAGAAAACTCATTTCACCCATTACAATTTAATGTGAATGGAGGCTCAGGCAATGCAGAGGTCCCTGATTCAACAGTAGAATCTGACAGGGTGTGGAGCAGAGAAGCTGGAATACAATGTGGGAAAGTGTGAGGTCATGCACTTTGGTAAGAAGAATAGAGGCATAGACTATTTTCTAAATGGGGAAAAAATTCAGAAATCTGAAGTGCAAAGGCACTTGAGGGAGCTAGTCCAGGATTCTCTAAAAGTAAACTTGCAGGTTGAGTCAGTAGTTAGGAAGGCAAATGCAATATTGGCATTTATTTCGAGAGGACTAGAATATAAAAGCAGGGATGTATTTCTGAAGCTTTATTAGGCTCTAGTCAGACTACGTTTAGAATATTGTGAGCAATTTTGGGCCCCATATTTCAGGAAGGATGTACTGGCCCTGGAGCAGATCCAGAGGAGGTTCACAAGAATGATCCTAGGAATGAAAGGCTTAATGTACGTTAAAGGTTCTGGGTCTATACTTGATGGAGTTTAGAAGATTGAGGGGGGATCTAATTGAATCTTACAGAATACTGAAAGGCCTAGATAGAGTGGATGTTGGGAAGATGTTTCCATTAGCAGGAGAGACTAGGACTTGAGGGCACAACCTAAGAGTATAGTGAAGACCCTTTAGAACGGAGATGAGGAGAAACTTCTTCAGCCAGAGAGTGGTGAATCTATGGAATTCACTGCCACAGAAGGCTATGGAGGCCAGTTCATTTAGTATATTTAGACTCCGATAGATAGGTTCTTGATTGTTAAGGGGATCAAAGATTATAGGGAGAAGGCGGGAGAACGGAGTTGAGAGACTTATCAGCCATGATTAAATGGCAGAGCAGACTTGATGGGCCAAATGGACTAATTTCTGCTGTATGTCTTATGGTTGTGAGGTGACAAAAAAAGCAACAAGTGCTGAGATGCCAGCATAGATAGAAAGTCAAATAGCAGAAATGTTATCCTGAGGACTGCAGATTCTGTAATGATCAGTTATTAGCAATGGCCTTACCCAGCAACCAAATCAGCAACTCTCCACCACACTAAATTCCATCAGCTACTAGACACAAGTCAGAAGTATGGTAAAATATTTTCCATTTGAGTGGTTGAGTGAAGCTGTAACAATACTCAAACCTCAACATCATCCAAAATAAAATAGCTATTTGATTGGCACCCTATCTACCACCTTGAACATTCAGTCCTTCCGCAATCAGTGCACATTAGTAGCCGTGTGAGCCATCTGTTTGATGCACAGCAGCAACTCACCAAGGATCCTTTGCCAGAACCTGCCAAACCTGCAAACTCTACCATCTAGAAGGACAAGAGCATCAGACCCATGGGAACTTCACCACCTGTAAGTTCCCTCCCAAGTCACACTCCATCCTAACTCGGAATAATTTCATCGTTGCTTCACTGTCAGTGCGTCAAAATTCTGGAACATGCTTTCTAACAGTGTTGTGAGTATACTTACACCACAGTGCTTCAAAAAGCTGTTAAATGTATACTAATCTTATTTAATTGTATGCAGGGGTTTTATTTTGTCAGCTATAAAAGGACAAATTGAAGCAGTTTGGATGTGTATAGTCATAACATTTCACTCTAAATAAATGAGCAAAGGTCAGCTAACCTTCACCGTCTAGTTCTCAGACTAGTTCTCCTGGTGCTGAGAGGCAGCAGTGCTAACCACTGAGCCACTGTGCTGCCCCACGTTGGCTCTGTAGTTAGCACTGCTGTCTCACAGCACCAGGGACCCGGGTTCGATTCTACCCTCAGGCGACTGTCTGTGTGGAGTTTGCACAATGTCACCCTGTCTGCGTGGGTTTCCTCCGGGTGCTCCAGTTTCCTTCCACCGTCCAGAGACGTGCAGGCGAGGTGGACTGGCCATGCTAAATTGCCGATAGTGCTCAGGGAGGTATAAATTAGGTGGGTTATAGGGAGATGGGTCTGGGTGGGGTGCTCTGAGGGTCGATATGGACTTGTTGGGCCAAAGGGCCTATCTCCACACTGTAGGGGTTCTATGATCTATAAAACACTCACCATCAACTTCTCCAGAGCAATTAGAGATGTCCAATAAATACTAACCTTGCCAGCACCCATATCCCATGATTTAACATCAGTAGATTTAACTAAGAGCATTTCGTGTCCTAAGGTTTCAAGAAAGGAAAACATTTAAAGCAGCCTGAATAATTCACTAAGAAATGGAAGTAGTTATTTACAGTAAAGCTGGTTTGATTAAGCCTAGAGTAGGGATTAAAGTTGTGGATGTTTGATACTGATGCTTATGTCCAGCTGTTGTGTATTTTGCTAACCTGCCTTGTCTTTCTGGCTTTCGCACACAGTGACAGGAGAGTCTCCCCCCAGCCTGACAAAGGAGCTGACCAATTCGCTTGCAGGTGTTACAGATGTGACCTTTGACACCGACTCCCAATTTCCTCTTGATGAACTAAAAATTGATCCCTTAACATTGGATGGTCTGCACATGCTGAATGATCCGGACATGGTGCTGACAGACCCTGCTACAGAGGATACTTTCCGCATGGATCGTCTGTAGAAAAGGACACTGAGACCTAAGACAAATCAGGGAAGCAGGCCAAAAACCCGCCAGGGAGCGGAAATTGAGTGAACGAGTGCAATTGGTGGAATGATGTTAAAGTGAGAGCGTAACGTGCAATGAATTCCGCTTCTTGTTCCAAGCTTGCAACTCTGCGATCCTGAATGAACCAAGTATAGCGCTTTCAGCTATGTGGCGCACTCCTTCATTGCAGCGTTTCATTGACTCCATCACATCCCCGGGCCTCTTGTTTTATTTTCCGTTCTCCTATTTATGTTGTCCTCGTGGTAACGGTGGGCTGTCAGTGCATCGTTATTATTGGCAGGTTTACATGTAATTTGGAGTCTACCTATGAGGTAACAACTGACAGTAAAACCTGGCAGCTCCAGGCCAGCAGTACGGTGATGTTATTATTTATCCTGAACTCACCAGTCTGACACTTCTTTCAGTGCGCTGTTGCCATTGTATTTTCTGTGCTGCTCGATTCTTATTTATATTTTTATATTTGTCGGTGATTTCTTTCTCCTGCCCCATTCCTTTTCACTGTGCTTGTGTTCAGCAAAAGCCACTGCCTTGTTGTATGTTGCTAAGAAAGTGAACAAGAGACTGATCTGACACAAGAGCTAAGTGCATGGACAGAAATTGTATTACAGCCAATATTTAGAGGGGCATGCATTCTTGCTCCTGTTTGTGTCCCTTTCTTTTATGTTTTTCCATCAGATTTTAAAAAAGAATGTTGACAATGTGTGCCAGTTGGAGATTAGTTTGCTGCCAGCTCCTTCCACAAGAAACCAAATGTTCTCACCTCCCTCTGCTCAGCTGTTCCAATTCTCGGTCAGTCCCACCAGTCCTGTCAAACTGCGGATGGCTCTATAAATGCCCTCTCTCCAACAGGCGCACATCCCTTCTGTCCAGTGTTTGTGAAGTATATGTGCTGTTAAGCTGCTTAAAAGCCTCTCCCTATGTGGCACTCATTCAGTCTCAGCCCTTACAGCCAGCCGTTGTGTGGCCAACAACACTCACTGTATTTCACAGTTTATCTCTGGCCATTGAAGTGAGAGAGTGCAGAAATACTCATTTGATATTAGGAAGGAAAGGCTCAATGCCAGCTTCTGAAGGGATGTGCGACAATGATGCTGCCCAATGAACTTTTCACCATCTTTGCTGCAGTTCTTAGTTCTGAGAGTGGATAGGGAGAGCTATCACTAACACTATATGCTGTGGAATCTGTTCCCAGCACATCCACTACAAGTCAGGACTCTGTCAAACTTTACCTGCACAAGTGAATTAACTTGCACAACAGAATCACATTTAAGTTCAAGACGCTAAGCTGGTACTGGCCTATCAAGCCACATGTCATTTCTGGCAAACTTGCTCCCACTAATGTTTCTTAAAAAGAACACTAAATGGACACTGTAACCTACAGACTTCATATAAAGTCCTGAGACTATTTTATCAGCCTTTGCTGGGCAGATTAATGATGTAGCAAGATCTGTCAGTATTAACAAGTACATGTTAAACAGCAGGTGCAGCAAGAAATTAGGAAAGCAAATTGCAAAGGGACTGGAGTATGGAATGAGAAATCTTTGCTGCAATTGTATAGGGTATTAGTAAGGACACATCTAGAATAGTGTGTACTGTTTTAGTCTCTACACAAAAAAAAAATGTAGTTGCATTGAAGGTAGTGTAGTGAAAGTTTACTGGACTGGTTCCTGCATTTGAGAAGTTTGGCCAGTTATGAGAGGATGAGTTGAATAGATCTGCTTTCTCTGGAATCTAGAAGAGTAAGAGATGATCTAATTGAAACCTGTGAGATAATGAAGCACCCTAACACTGAAAAGTTGTTTCTCCCTGACTGGGAAAACTAGAACAGAGGGAACCAGTTTCAGGAGACAAGGCTTAACGTTTAGGACTTGGATGAGAAATTTCTTCCTGCAAAGGATTGTGAATCTTCCAAGTTCTCTATCTCAAAGGGTTGTTGCTTCTTTATTAAATATACTTAAGAATGAGGTGGAGAAATGTTTGAGCTCTCAGGGACTTGATGGACATAGAGAGAGGTTGGAAAATTGGAATTGAGGCAGCAAGTTGGATATGAATCATTTAAATGACAGAGCAGTCTTGATGGGCCACGTGATCTGCTGCTGTTCTACTTGTGTCTTTGTGTTCTCTTCCTCTGTTCTAGCCCTAATGAAGCAAGTGCATGCACCTCGCACACACCCCAACATATTTGGATTATTCCTCTGTCTCTGTGGCTGCAGTACTCGAGAATATATTCAACCCGCTAAATGGAAGTTATTTTTCTTCAAGTTATATATCCTCTCATGTAGGGAGTTCAGAACAAAGTGACAAAACAATCTCACAATGACAGCCATACTGTTCAGCATGATGTCAGGAAGCACTCCTTCACATGAAGGGGAGTGGGAATCTGAAACTAAACTCCCCTCAAATCAGTTGGAGCTTTCAGGACTGAGGTTGATTTGTTTTAATTGGGCCAGTGTATCTAGGTGTCTGGGAAATAGATTTAGGCTATTGATCAGTTATGAACTTTTCCTTCTTAATTATTGGGATGTAAACAGCAGAATAGCCTGAGGGGCTGAATGACCATATGCTGTTTCACTGTTCCTACATTACTACAAGGTAGATTTTGAAATTCTGATAGCTGTTTGTGTCTGGATCAGCATCTGATAACAAGATTGATCAGTGGCACAACAGCTGAGAGTCCAGTGACCTTTTATGTAGCTTGAATATTCCTACCTTGATACAATATCTAGAAACAAACACTGAGCCCAACAGTTTGCAACCTTGTTCCAGTCAGGACAGTCTTCCCACCCTGGGTATGAGTGTCCAGGCTTCTGCTGGTACCTGCCAACACAATACTGCACCTGTAGGAGATGGCAGCATGTGCTTCTGTGTGTCTGCATGCTTCCTGGAGCTAGGCCATGCCTGGAATGTTGAGTGAAATTTATAATCACAGCCAGTACTACTCTGAGCTCTTTATTGTACAGAATATTTATAATTTGTTAGGCATTTGATAGTTGCCTCATTTGATGTCAGTATAGTGTTGATTCAGAACTTTGTAATGGGGTAAATCTAAGCAGTCTGTATCATGAGAGGTCCTTTTCTTGAACTTTAACATTTTAGTTTACAACTAAATCAGGTTAATAATTCATTATATTTGAACATTTAATACTGTTCCAAATTTGAAATGTTGGTGGTTCTTAACATGCAGAACTTATGTCCCCACTTGATGTCCAAAATTAGGAGTATGAGGCATGGGTTAAGGAAAATATATAAAATGGTTGATAAAATAATATACAGATATAAAGTTTTTAAACTATATATTTCTTTTCATTTCTAACACTGCAAATCAAGCACTTTTTACATCATGTGCATTCCCTGCATGGATTGTATTTGTTCATCCTTTTCATAGTTTCCCACTGTACTTCCCTTGTGACAAAGAGTCTAAATCAGTGAAAGTGTTGAGTATAAAGTTTTCTGAAGAAGGGTCCCGACCCAAAACATCAGCTGTCCCGTTCCTCTGATGGTGCCTGGCCTGCTGTGTTCCAACCGGTTCCATACTTTGTTATATCTGAGTATAAACTTCCTGTTTAATTCAGTACTTTAAAGCCAGGTTCTTCTTGGTTGTATTTGCAAATGCAGTGACAAGTAGGACAGGTATATCAGGAATACAACCTTAATGAAGAGCTGCGTTAATGCAGTGCGGGGAGAGAGCTGCGTTAACTCATACCCCTGTGCAAGGCTTACTTTTGGTGTGTTTTTGGATACCTGTTGGATGTCTTGCTGGGATCTGTGAGAGGATTAATCCAGAATCATGAACTATTCTTGTTCCTTGATGCTCTTGTGCAAGTAATATTCAGACTTGTTCTGATTGCTGCTGGAGTCATTTAGGCTCTTGTTCCCTAATTTTCTTGTTCCTGCAGATCCTGAGGTTGAGCAGCCAGGAAAAAGAGAGAGATTCTAGACATTCTGCTTGTAGTGAGTTGGATGTTGTCCACACTGTATTAGTGTTATTGATGCTGCACAGAATGGATGTTGTTGCTAAGAGAACGTTGCTTATGTGAAGACGTTGATTTTGTCTTCACACCCTTTACCCCTGCCTGGACCTGACATTGGAGAATCTGAGAGATCTTCCCAGAACTTGCATGCATTCGAGTGAATACAAACATCAACCACACGAATTGCATAAAATCAGAGCCCGTTTGTAATCTGAGTAATGAACTAGTATAGAAGTGTGTGTGTGTCTGTCTGTGTTTGGGGGCGTGGGGAGATGCCATATAAATAAGTTGTATAGTTCAAAAGAATCTTCATGTACAAAAATTTTCTTCAGAAATTCTTTTTGGCCTATCTTTAGAGAGCAATTTGGTGACAGTACAGTCGTTGGTGTTTGTGGAAGAGGGCTGAGATTGTGATGTGGAAAAGTTGGAGATTTCCGGTGTCTGTACTGTTAAGGGATGGAGAAGAGCTAAACTCGCAGGTTTAATCAGGAGTTAAGAGGTTAATTTGATGGCATTATTGGGACCTGCAGTACCTATTATCAAAGGGCATATTTTACTTGATCAAACTGCCATGCATAAAATTGTTGATATTACGCAAGACCATAAGAAATAAGAACAGGAGTAGGCCATTCAGCCCCTCGAGCCTGTTCCGCTCTTAAATGGGATCGTGGCTGATCCAACATTCCTCAAGTCCACTTTAATACATTTTCCCATAAACCTTGATTCCCCCTACTGATAAAGAATCTAGCTATCTCAATCTTAAATAAACGCAAGGACTCTGCTCCCACAACTCTCTGCGGCAAGTGGTTCCACAGACACTCAGCCCTGAGAGAAGAAATTCATCCTCACTTCAGACAAATTGGTGCCCTTTTATTCTGAGAAATGCCCACTGGTCCTAGACTCTCCCATGAGGGGGAACATCGTTTCAGCATTTACCCTGTCAAGTCCTTGAAGAATCCTGTATGTTTCAATGAGATCACCTCTCATTCTTCTAAACTCCAGTGAGTAGATCCCAATGTGTTTAATCCTTGCTCAGAAGACAATCCCTCCATAGCAGGGATCATCCCAGTGAACCTTTCCTGAACTCCCTCCATTGAAATGGTATCTTTCCTTAAATAATACAACTGGACTATTCTGTACAGATATTAACACAAGAGCTAGAAAATAGTTATAGTGATTGGGGCAGGAGATGTAGGGAAGAGGGTTGAGTAGGAATGGTGATGACGAGCAAATGTCTGAAAGTAGTGGAAGCAGAGTTGATAAAAAAAAATCACATGGACACTTCATGGACTTTGACTCACGGCATCCAACAGATAATGAGAGTGCGAGTGCTGTGTTGGACATTGCACAAAAGAAGCAAAGAGCTTGTACAACCTCAAGGTGTTTTGCAATCAGTAGTTGATTTAAATAGCCAATGCTGTGCGTGCAACGGGGAGTGGATGTTCTACGGTGTGAATGCTCTTTGGATATTGGAATAGCACTAGAGGGAGGAATAGACCTAACAATTTGCACTAAGCGTAACATCTGTGATTTAGAAAAGTATGGGGAAGTAATGAAACAGTGCAGATTCAGTTATGGAAAATCATATTTAACTAATTTACTTTGAAGTGATGTGTGTTTTCATGGCAATCCATTTGATGTTGTTTATGTGGATTTTCTGAAGGTATTTGAGAAAGTTGCACAAAATAGATTTTTTAGCAAAATTAAAGTCCATTGGAATAAAGAGACAGAGGCAGAACGATTCAAAATTTGCTTAGGAACAAAAGCAGAATGCAGAGATGAGCAGTCATTTTTCAGTTGCGGGTTTGGGGGTCCAAGCTATTGCCCAGATCTTTGTTAATGATTTAGGTGTGCAATGCATAATTTTGTAATTTGTAGTTGACATGAAAATCACAAAGGTTGCAAACAATCAATGGAGTAGTAACTGAGGAAGGTGACATGAGGAGACACATGGCAGATTAAACCCAATGCGCAGAAGTATGATGGGGATACCTTTTGGAAGAAAGCAATACAAAATTAAAGGCCTGTGTGTATGTGTATGCAATTCTTTGAAGGTTACAGGCAATTTGAGATGTCTTTTTTAAAAAAGCATACTTGGGTCCATGGCATTGTTGTTAATGGAACGTGGATGCAAGGAAGTGATGCTAAAATGTTATAAACGAATTGTTAGGCCCCAGTATGAGGAGCATATTAAATTTTGGATTCCGCTCTTTAGAAAGGATGCCTAAGCCTTGACAAGGAATTACAGGTGATTTTCAGGAATGAGGGACTTTACTAGTTCATGTGAAGAGACTGGGATTGTACTGTTCACAGCAGAGGAGATTAAGGGAGACTGAATAGAAATGTTCAAAATTCTGGATGATATGACAACAGTAAATAAAGAAAAACTGTGTGCAGTGGCAGAAAGCAGCTCATCGCTTCTTGATAAATTAACAACAGTCAGAATGGATTTTAAAAAGGATAGCTCTTGCTTGACCAACCTGTTGAATTTATTGAGCAGATGTTAGACAGTAGATGATGGTAATCAGCAGATTGATTTATCTGGATTTTCAAAAAGCCTTTGGTACAAAACTAATAAATAATGTCAGCACATGTGGAGTCGGGGACAAGTAGCAGAATAGATGCTGGCTAGTTTCAATACAAGCAAAGAGTGGGAGTAAAGGGTAATTATTCAAAGTGATACTCCACAAGGATCAGTGCATGGGAGCGTTGTTGTTCACAATTTACATCTAGGACTATGGATCATTGTTAAAAAAAATAAGGGGTCACCCATTTAAGACAGGTGAAGTGTTTTTTTCTCAGAGGTTGAGTGTCTTTGGAATTCCCTTCCTCAAAAGGCAATGGATGCAGAATCTTTAAATATGTTTAAGGCAGGGATAGATAGATCCTTGATACTGAAGGAGCTGAAATATTATTGGCAAGATGCAGGAATGTAGGATTGAGGTTAAAGTCAGATCAGCCACAATCTTACTGAATGAGACAGAAGGCTGAGTGGCCTGTTCTTGTTCCTTGTTTTGTATGTGAACACTTTGGACTTCGAAATCAAAAATGCAATTTCTAAATTTTTGGATGACTCCAAACTAAAAGAAAAGTTAATACTTGGGCAGAGGGTAGCACGTTACATTGGGCATTAATAAAAGTATCAAATGGGAAATTATTGGCAAATGAAGTTTGGTGCAATTAAATGATTGAGATTATTTTGGTAAGAAGGATTGGGAGGTCACTGTTACTAATGTCAGAAGAGGAATAAAGGGATCTTGGAGTGCAAAGGTATTAGTCACCAAAAGATGCGCTACAGGTAGCAAGGTTATATTTTAACAAAAAGCTTCAGTCTTTATTTCTAGAGGATAGAAATGAAAGGTCAGGAAGATAATGCTAAATCTGTTTTGAACTTGGTTCATCCGAGTGTAATGTGTGGGTCTGATCACCATGTTATGAAAAGGATACAAATAAATTGTAGAGGTTGCAAGTAGATTTCCAAGGATGGTGCCAGAAATGAGTTTACAAATCAGGAAAGTATTGACAGGCGTTGGGACCCTTTTGGCAAGGAAAAAAGGCTGAGGAATGACCTAATTGAGGTTTTTGAATGATGAAAGGTTTTGGCAAGTGGATCCAGAATATTCCTTCCTGTGGGAAAGAGCAGAACTGGAGGCTGTGAAGATAAGATCACCGCCAACAAATCTAATAGGAAATCAGAAGAAACGTCTTTGCCAGAGAGTAGAAAGAACGTGGAAGCATTTGGAGCAGTTGTTGAAGCCTATATGAGAAGTTGGACAAACAAATGAGGGACAAGGGAATTGAGTGGGATGGGTTTAGACGAGAAAAGATTGGAGGTGGCTTGAGTAGAGCAGAAAAACCAGCATAGATCATTTTGGGTCAGATGGTCTGTTTCTGTGACATGTATCGTTTGCAGTTTGGGATGGACAGTAATTGCTGGTCTTATAATTTTTTAACGTCATACGTTTTTTTTAAGAATTGTCAGTAATCAGTGGGCGTAGATTTAAGGCAAAAATATGGTGACATTGAGGAGACATCTCTTTATGTAATTAATTCAAAAATGAACCTGTTAAACGCAAAAGGAAAAAGATTACAGGGCAAATGGGAAAGAGAAGGAGTGGAATTAGTCAAATAGACCTGCCAAAGAGCTGACACAGGTAGTGTGGGCTAGATGGTTTATGCATTGTATCATGCTACCAAAGCCTGGCTGCTGGTTACAGATTAGCAGGTTGCCTGCTGATGTGGTCCTTACAATCATATTCAGGCTTTCCCATTTCTTACTCCACACCCACCCAGCTATAACGTGTACCACACTGTTTCCAGTGACTGGTGTAGTTGGACATTAGCTGGAATTCTGTTTCTTCAAAGCTATATCATGTCCTGTGAAGGTTTGTTTTTGAGATTGTTGGATGCTACCCAGAAAATTCTAGGTCAAAAATTGCAGTTGTGTATTTTTCTACTTCAGTAATTACTGTGTATCCACTGCCAGGAATGATACCATGCAGCATATGTGGAATTGCACTGCCAAGGATTCTTCTATGCAAGGTACCGTGCCTTACAGTGCATTACCGTGCAGTGCAAGAGCTAATACTGGTATGTCCCATGCAACACCGGGAAGAGCCAAGTGTGCCTTTAACCTGGAAGCTGTGGATTATACCAGGGTATTCTGTTACAGAAAGTAGTTAATTTCTCACCCTGCCTGTGGCATTCTTTGGGTTTGCTTTCTCTTGAGTTCATGGCAACCTTGATGTGTATTTGCTGATTCTGTTGTTCAGTTTAAAGCTATCATTGTATTTCTTTGATCTGCAAAGGATCAATGTAAATTAAGGAGCCTTGATCATGAAACAATTCTTACTACAGTCCTCAGTCACTATTAGAAATCCACAGCGCAATTCTTCACATTAGATACTAAACTATTTTGCTTTTGTATGTTGAAAATTGGAAAAGATTCTTATGCTGTAATCTCTCTGAAATTTCTTGGCATATTTTAAACCCTATTTAGAGGATTACACCTAAAAAATCAGGGTGCAAGATTGAACAGAAGATGTAAAATCATTTGGTGTTCCTTTTTGATTGGGTTTTTAGATTAGATTTTGGGCCATGAGGTAACTTACAGTTGGTCTAGACTTGAGAAATTGAAGCTTTTCTCCTCATCTCCATTTCTTCATAAAATATGGCATTTCAACCAAAACTTCTCACTAGGATTTCTGATCTTTGTGAATGGATGTTTATGAAAATGAACCAGAAACGGTACAAACCTCACACAGATGCTCAGGTAGTAGAAAACAGTCATTGATGTCAACTTTTCTTGCCTTAATTCTAGATGTATTCTTTATTTTAACCTTTTTTAAACCATCTGTACTATCAGGAGCCCGCATAGTCACTTTTATGCTGAGAAATCTCTCAATAAGATGAATGCTCATTGAGGACCTTTTATAATCACATCACCCTGAAATATTGACTCTTGCTGAGAGAAAAGAGACCTGCTGTCAAAGATTTTCATTTTGATCAAGGATGTCAAAATTTCAATAAGAACCATTTATGCTGCATGTGAAAAGGGGCCTAATTGGTTGACAAGTTAGCTGATCAATACATTGCCATGGAGAATGCATCATTATCCCAACACTTTTCCTTAATTTTTTAAAAGGTACAATGCCTGGGCTCAATTATTTTTCTTGCATCAGTCCTGATGCGTGCAGGATGAGAAGCCTTGACAGTATGTTCCTTTTTCGACAGTACTTGAGCACTACATAACAAAGTGATAATTGAAATGATTATTCAGGTTAGGATACACTTGCTTGACTTGGAGATAACCTCAGATTTCCCTATCTGCTCATCCATCTTCCAAATTAGCAGGTATATGCACCAAAGCTTGAGCAATTCACACACTCTCAGACTCAGAAAATTGATAGGCAGCAAAACTTGTCTTTCCATGGAGATACAGCAAAGCAGCTTCCCCAAGAATGTCATTTTAATCAGATTCCGCCCACGAATCCGTCAACATTTATTTATTTTTCTGATGTCTTGGTTTTTATAAATAAACTTGGAAATTTTGAAGTGGATTTCAGGTATAATGCAAACCATAACTTGTACTGACTGACTGTCAAAGGATCTTCATTTTAACTTGTAAATGTTTTTTAAAGGTTATGTTTGTGTGAGGCTTCTGTCTTTGTAAATGAAATGTAATTAAAGTTCAACAGTTTTCTGCTCGAAGTCCTTCAAAGTTTAATATGTTTTCAATTCCTATCTCTACAGAATGCTGATTCTGTCTTCACTTTATGGCTGTACATGATGAATGCCATAGAGCAGCAGGTTTTCAGAATTTAAAACGTGCAAGATTTGTGGGTTTCATACTCTGGGTGCAGTCCTCACATGAGGCAGAGGAATGTAGTTGGGGAGATTTTACTTTTTTTTGATTCACTCATGGACGTGGGCATCCCTAACTGGCCAGCAGTCACATCTCCTAGAACTGTACAGCGCAGAAACAGGCCCTTCGGCCCACAATGTTGTGCTGAACATGATGCCAAATGAAACTAATCCCTTCTGCCTGCCATTGGTCCATATCCCTCCATTCCTTAAATATTCATGTACTTATCTAAAAGACCCTTAAATGCCCCTATCGTATCTGCCTCCACCACCACCCCAGCAGTGCGTTCCACACTCCTACCACTCTCTGTGTAAAATACCTGCCCATCACGTCTCCTTTGAACTTTCACCCTCTTACCTTAAATGCATGGCCCCTACTATTAGATATTTCAACACTGGGGAAAGAATTTTGACTGTAAACCCTACCTATGCATCTCATAATTTGATAGACTTCTATCAAGTCTCCCCTCAGCCTGTACCGCTCAAGAGAAAACAACCTAAGGATTTTCTAGCTGCTCCATATAGCTCATACTGTCTAATCCAGGCAGCATCCTGGTAAACCTCTTCTGCACCCTCTCCAAAGCCTCCACATTCTTCCTGTAATGTGGCAATTAGAACTGAACGCCAATACTCTTAAGTGTGGCCTAACCAAAGTCTTATAAAGCTGCAACATGACATCCTGACTCTTCGACTCAATTCCCCGACCAATGAAGGCAAGCATGTCATACGTCACCTTTTACCATCCTAACTACTTGTGTGGCTACCTTCAGGGAGCTATGGACCCCAAGATCCTTCTGTATATCACTGCTGTTCAGAGTCCTGCCATTAACTGTATAGTTTTGCTTAACATTTGATCTCCCAAAGGGCAGGACCTCATACTTACCCGGATTAAACTCCATCTGCCATTTCTCCGCCCATATCTGCAACTGATCTATATCCTGCTGTGTTCTTTGACAACTTTCTACCTAAACTATCCACAACTCTACCGATCTTTGTATCATCTTCACATTTACTAACCCACCCACCTACATTTTCATCCAAGTCATTTATATATATCACAAACAGCAGAGGTCCTGATATGGGTCCCTGCAGAACACAATTAATCACAGACCTCCAGCCAGAAAAACACCCTTCCACCGCACCTTCTGTCTTCTATGGCCAAGCCAATTCTGAATCCATGCGGCCAAGTCACCGTAGTTCCCATGCATCTTAATCTTGTGGATGAGGTTGTCCCTACTTGTACTTGAGAAGGTGGTGGTGAGCTTCCTACCGAACTGCAGCAGCCCATGTGTTGTCGGTTGACCCACCATGTTGTTAGAGAGGAGTTTGCAGAATTTTGAACAGGATGTATTTCAAAGTCAGGATGGTGAGTGGCTTAGAGAAGTACTTGTGAGTAGTGATGCTGCTTTACATACAGCTTTATCAAGTAACACCAGGTTATCCTTGTCCTGGGAGTGTTTGGTGGGGATGGTGTGGAGCAAGGTTTATTCTGTTATTGAACTCCATGCTGTTCCTGACCTGGGTGTGTTTGAAAGCAGATGGTATAGAGGGATATAAACATATTAAATATAAGTTAACTGGATTTGGCTGAGTGTTGGTTTTGATCTGCTAGCTCTCAATACATACCAACAGTAACTGTATTTCAGGGTAATAGAATGCGATACAGATAGTTGAGTTGTGAAACGTGATACATTGTTCTCACTCCTGGAATCATGCAATGCAGAAGGCCATTCATCCTATCATGCTAGCTCCTGTATGAAACATTTATGAAGAAATAATCTTTACTGACTAATTTTGTTTTTACGAACTCAGGAAAAGTTTTATTCAGAAAATCTTTGTAGTGAATCAAAATGCTACATATTATTGGTTATATCTGTCACCTTTAACAACTTTATATGGACTCTACAAACCAATGTGCAGCTATAAGCAGGATTATTTAGAAAAGATGCAATAGTTAAACACTGTCAGTCTATTTGTTCCTCTGTTGGATAATCCTTGCTGATATGTTCAGGATTGGAATTTGGTTAAAATGATCGAGTGAATAACTGAAGGGCTTGGCAGTATCCTAATGACCTTTAATCTGGGTGCCAGACGCAAGGAAAAACACTAAATTCTTCAAAAACATATAGAAAATGTTCACTAAAATTTACCAATAAAGAGAGACCTAAGTTGTGAGACAGTGAGATATTAAGACTGGTCTCCTCAGAGTAGAGAAGGGTTAGAGGTCACCTCTCAAGTTTTCAAGGTGGTGAAAGGTTTTGGAAGTGTTAAGAGAGGAAAATAATCTAGAGATCAAAGGGTGAAAATAATTGGAAAATAAATCTATTGGGAAATGAGGAGAAATGTTTCACCAAGTTGTTGGGGTCTAGAAGGTGATCTTAAGCAAAGAAATAACTTGGGGACTAAGTGTAATGGCTGTAAGTCAGCACAAATGACAGGTACATTTTAATGATTCTAGCTTGCTTATTCAACACTGACCAAAGGTAAAAATCTCAGCTTAGCTCATTCTTGATCTGCCTTTGTACCAGATTGTTCTGATCTAAAATTTACAAAATGTGTCCATTTCCTAAATCCCAAAGATCAAATGAGAAAAAAAAATTGAAATCAGTCAAACGATTGATTGATTGATTGGCCATCTTCTGAGTGACAAGAATTTATTCAATCAATTGATCATGAAGGATTTCCTTAAGACCTGTTCTTGCCCATCATCCAACAAGGGTCCAGGTGTTAGAGTTGTTATTTTCATCTAAATCTGTGGGAAACGTTCTAGTACTATTGATTGAAGGTTTGAGATGTTGTCACTGCCAGAGTTGGTAAGTTCCAAAAGGTTTTTCTGGGATCATGCTCCATTCTTCAAAACTGGTTCTGAAGTTGTGTTGGGTGGAAATCTTCTGGAATTGTGTCTGACGAAGACAAAAACAGAGCAATTAACAATTAACCCTGACAAATACGAGAAAGAAGTAACAAGACAAGGGAGTAATCAATGAGTAGCAGAATGCTAAGAAGCTCAGAGGAACAGAGGCATCTTGCGGTGCTTGTCCATAGATCCCTGAAGACAGCAGGGCAAGTTAATAGTCTGATTAAGACATACAGACACAAGCCTTTATCAGCTATGCCATAGATTATAAAAGCAGGGAGGTTTTGTTGGAACTATAGAGAACTTTGGTTTGGCCACAGCTGGAGTACTGTGTGCAATTCTGGTCACCGCAGGATAGGAAGGATGTGATTGGAAAGAGGGGGTGCAGAAGCGATTCACCACGACATTGCCTGGGATGGACTAGTAAGGTGAAAGGCAGGAGGTTTAGATGGAATTTGAAGAAACTTTTTACCACCCAAAGAGTGATGGAAATCTGGAATGTGCTGACTGGAAGGGTAGTTGAGGTGGAAAACCTCAACCTTTCAAAAAAGTACTTGGATGAGCACTTGAAAAGTCATAACATTCAAAGCAATGGGCCTCATGCTCGAAAGTGAGACTAGTGCAGACTTAGTTTCTTTTGTCAGTGCAGACTTGATGGGCAAAAGGGCCACTTCTGGATTTGGGAATTCTTTGATTGCAAAAGAGGCTGGAGAATGAAAACAGGAAGAAGAATGCAGAGGTGGATCAGAAGTGCATGCTGAGTTTAGCGGTGGGTTAGGGGTAGTGAATGCCTTATGACAGGTTGTTTGAATTATTGTAGGCCATGATTGTGTTGTCCCTGAACTATTGCACTATGACAGTGAGCAGTTTCGAAATGGAAATTATTTATTAATGATTTGGATAAAGGCACAGAAAGTAATGTATCCAAATTTTTATAAATGACCTGGATGAGGGCGTAGAAGGATGGGTTAGTAAATTTGCGGATGACACCAAAGTCGGTGGAGTTGTGGATAGTGTGGAAGGATGTTGCAGGTTACAGAGGGACATAGATAAGCTGCAGAGCTGGGCTGAGAGGTGGCAAATGGAGTTTAATGCAGAAAAGTGTGAGGTGATTCACTTTGGAAGGAGTAACAGGAATACAGAGTACTGGGCTAATGGTAAGATTCTTGGTAGTGTGGATGAGCAGAGAGATCTCGGTGTCCACGTGCATAGATCCCTGAAAGTTGCCACCCAGGTTGATAGCGTTGTTAAGAAGGCGTACGGTGTGTTAGGTTTTATTGGTAGAGGGATTGAGTTTCGGAGCCATGAGGTCATGTTGCAGCTGCACAAAACTCTGGTGCGGCCGCACTTGGAGTATTGCGTACAGTTCTGGTCACTGCATTATAGGAAGGATGTGGAAGCATTGGAAAGGGTGCAAAGGACATTTACCAGGATGTTGCCTGGTATGGAGGGAAGGTCTTATGAGGAAAGGCTGAGGCTGTTTTCGTTAGAGAGAAGAAGGTTAAGAGGTGACTTAATAGAGACATACAAGATGATCAGAGGATTAGATAAGGTGGACAGTGGGAGCCTTTTTCCTCGGATGGTGATGGCTAGCACGAGGGGACGTAGCTTTAAATTGAGGGGTGATAGATATAGGACAGATGTCAGAGGTAGGTTCTTTACTCGGAGAGTAGTAAGGGCGTGGAATGCCCTGCCTGCAAAAGTAGTAGACTCGCCAACTTTAAGGGCATTTAAATGGTCATTGGATAAACATATGGATGATAATGGAATAGTTTAGGTTAGATGGGCTTCAGATTGGTTTCACAGGTCCACGCAACATCGAGGGCCGAAGGGCCTGTACTGCGCTGTAATGTTCTGTGTTCAATGTTCTATGTTCTAATTAGCTAATGAGACAAAGTTAGGTGACATTGTAGAAGTATAGAGATGATGACATTAAAGTACAAAGGGATATTGAATGACTAGGTGCACGAGCAAAACTGTGGAAGATGGAGTTCAAACTGTGAGGTTATCCATTTTGGACCAAAACAGGATAGATCAAGGTCCTTCCCAGATAACATGAATGAAAATACAATGGATGTCCAAAGAGACAAAGACGGGGTTCAGTGGCACAAATTATGAAAATATCTGAAAAACTAATGCAGAATAGTGCAGAAAATAATCAAGAAAGCTAATGGAATGCTGGCCTTTATATCCAGAGGACTGGAGTATAAGAATGCAGAAGTTATGGTGCCATTATACAAAACCCCGATTAGACCCCATTTGGAGTACTGTGAGCAGATGTGGGCACACACCTTAGGAAGAATATATTGGCCTTGGAGGGAGTACAATCTGTATTTACAAGAATGATACCTGGACTTCAGAGGTTGTTATGAGGAGAGATTATACAAATTCAGCCTGTTTTCTGTAGAATTTAGAAGGTTAAGGAGTAATCTGATCAAAGTCTTCAAGAGGTTAACAGGAAGATACAAGGTAGATAAACATAAATTATTTCCACTGGTTGGGGATTCTATAACTAGGGGAGGCATAGTCTAAGAATTAGGGCCAAACCATTCAGGAAAAATGTTAGGAAGACTTCTACACACAAAGGGTGGGAGAGGTTTAGAATTCTTTTCCACAAATGGCAGTTGATGCTAGATCAGTTGTTAAGTTTAAATTTGAGATTAATTTTTGTTAAGCAAAAATATAAACAGAGATGAGCCAAAGGCAAGTATATGGAGTTAAATCACAGATCAGTCATGATCTCATTGATGGTACAACAGATTTGAGGGGGTGAATTGCCTACTCCTGTTCCCATGTTCCTATCCCCCCTGCCCCGAGCAAGCTGTGTCAGTGAACAAAATTAAAGGTTCATGGAAACAGGAAAAGATATTCACTCGCTTTAGCCTTTTTTGCCAAATCAGGGGCAGGCAGTGGCATAGTCGGCACATCCTGGGCTGGTAATCCAGAGACCCAGGCTATTGTTTTGGGGACGTGGGTTCAAATCCAATCGTGGGAGCTGGTGAAATTCAAATACAATGAATAAAGCCAGGAATTGAAAACTAGCCTCAATAACGGTTCTCATAAAACTAACATCAATTTTTATAAAAACCGTCAGGTTCACCAAAGCTTTATAGGGAAAGAAATTGCTGTTCGAACCCAGTCTGGCCTGCCTGTGACTCTTGATGGATAAAGTGGTTGATTTTCATCTGCCCTCTGATAGCCCAGCAAGCCACCTAGTTCAATGGCAATTAGGGATAGCAAAGAAGGTGTTTGGTACGCTTGCGTTTATTGGTCAGTGCATTGAGTAAAGGAGTTGGGAGGTCATGTCACAGTTGTACAGGACATTGGTTAGGCCACTTTTGAAATAGTGCGTTCAATTCTGGTTTCCCTGCTCCAGGAAGGATGTTGTGAAACTTGAAAAGGTTCAGAAAAGATTAACAAGGATATTGCCAGATTTGGAGGATTTGAGCTATAGGGAGAAGCTGAATAGGCTGGGGAAGGGTTTAGAGGGATATGGGCCAAATGCTGGCAATGGGACTAGTTAATTTAGGATATCTGGTCAGCATAGATGAGTTGGACTGAAGGGTCTGTTACAGCTCTGTGACTCTGTGAGCAACAAACACTAGCTTTGCCAGTGACACTGACATCCAATTGAAAAGTTAGATCTTGAATGAGATGTATCTTAACTCCATCCACCTTGACTCCTTATTCCTGAATACATTTGTCCAAAATTTATCAATTTCAGTTTTGATATCTTCATTTTTCTCCACCCAACATCAACAGGTTTCAGGAAGATAGTTCCAGATTTCCGCCATCTCTTCATGTGAAGAAATGCTTCCTGACATCATCCTGACAACTGGCTCTAATTTCTGCTCAAACTATCTTCATGGGACAACGCTAACACAGGAATCAGCTGATTGAACCGTCTCTGAACTGTCTCCATTGCCAGTGTATCACTCCTGAAATAAGTTGACCTAAACTATACTCGAAGTGTCTCACCAACACCTGTACAGCTGCAACAAAATTTCTTGACATTTATACTGTTGCAAGGTGGGAAACCAGACAATATTCCATTTGCTTCAGAGATAGTAGGAACTGCAGATGCTGGAGAATCTGAGATAACAAGGTGTAGAGCTAGATGAACACAGCAGGACAAGCAGCATCAGAGGAGCAGGAAGGCTGACGTTTTGGGCCTAGACCCTTCTTCAGAAATGGGAGAGGAGAAGGGGGTTCTGAAATAAGTAGGGAGAGAGGGGGAGGCGGATAGACGATGGATAGAGGAGAAGATAGGTGGAGAGGAGACAGACAGGTCAAAGAGGCGGGAATGGAGCCAGTAAAGGTGAGTGGAGGTGGGGAGTTAGGGAGGGGATAGGTCAGACCAGGGAGGACAGACAGGTCAAGGGGGCGGGATGAGGTTAGTAGGTAGGAGATGGGGATGGGGCTTGAGGTGAGACGAGGGGATAGGTGGGAGGAAGAACAGGTTAGGGAGGCGGGGACGAGCTGGGCTGGTTTTGGGATGCGGTAGGGGGAGGGGAGATTTTGAAGGTTGTGAAGTCCACATTGATACCATTGGGCTGCAGGGTTCCCAAGCGGAATATGAGTTGCTGTTCCTGCAGCCTTCAGGTGGCATCGATGTGGCACTGCAGGAGGCCCAGGATGGACTTGTCGTCTGAGGAATGGGAGGGGGAGTTGAAATGGTTCGCGACTGGGAGGTGCAGTTGTTTAGTGCGAACCAAGTGTAGGTGTTCTGCAAAGCGGTCCCCGAGCCTCCGCTTGGTTTCCCTGATGTAGAGGAGGCCACAACGGGAACAGCGGATGCAGTATACCACATAGGCAGATGTGCAGGTGAACATCTGCTTGATGTGGAAAGTCTTCTTGGGGCCTGGGATGGGGGGGAGGGGGGAGGTGTAGGGGCAGGTGTAGCACTTCCTGCGGTTGCAGGGGAAAGTGCCGGGTGTGGTGGGGCTGGAGGGGAGTGTGGAGCGGACGAGGGACTCACTGAGAGAGTGGTCCCTCCGGAAAGCAGATAAGGGTGGTGAGGGAAAAATGTCTTTGGTGGTGGGGTCA